GGTGTAGCTACCGCGATTGATGAGCAGATATTTCTCGCGTCTTTGAACGTGATATTTGCTCTCTCATCTCAGCTCATTGAGTCTCAGGACCTGGATCAGAGAGAGGAATCCAGCAGGGTATACTTTGACCGGGCACAAGGGCTGCTCCCTCTGAATACTTGGGAACCAGCATCCATCGAGCTTCTACAGTATTTGCTTCTCACCAGCCAGTACCTACAAAGCACCGAACGCCCACATCAAACATGGATGGTTGTGGGCTCAGCTGTTCGTATTGCACAGGGAATTGGCTTGCATTTGAGTGAGACTTCCGCAGAACATTCTGATCCCAAGGAACGTGAATTACTCCGGAGGGTTTGGTATGGCTGTGTATTGATGGATCGGTAAGATTCAACCCCTTGAAAATCGAAACACGCACACCCACTGATCGCCTCTGTCTCTAGAATGGTCTCAGTCACACATGGAAGGCCTGCAATGATCTCTACCTATGTTGCATCCACTGTGCCCCTACCCAGTACGCCCATGGACCGATCAGAGGCCGTCACCGGCGTTATTGATTCATCTTCAACAGATGCCACTTTCTTTGTCAAATCTGTTCAGCTATATGAACTTATCCACCGCACCATCCAGTCCCTTTATTATGGAGCGCGATGTAAAAGTGCACTTGCATCTAATGACGAAGGTGATTCAGGCGGCGCGAATCACAGCAAGACGGACTTGGGACTGGTCATGCAGTTTGACGCTGCACTGGACAAGTGGGATCGAGGCTTGCCGGACCAGCTAAGGTGGACATACTATAAGCCTCGCGATCAAGTTACCGAGAGACAGGCTGTTGTATTGTATATCCGGTAAGTTGTGTCGTCTAAGATACCATCCGATCGTCTCTTACTGACATTCCCACATAGATTCCTCCATGCACGCATTCTTCTCCTTCGCCCCGTACTTGCGTCTTTCTGCTTGTCTTCCCAAGGAGGTGAGCTGGTGCAGAGCGCAGAGTCTCTGGAAGTTCGGACTCTGAAGGAATGTGCAATCATGTGCGTTTCTACGGCACAGAAGATAATATCAGTCTTGCTCAAATATCAGGCCATCGATGGAGCGATTGGATATCTGCCGGCGTGGTGGTATCGTGTCTATTACGTCTACACAGCCGCAACTGTACTGATTGCCGCCAAGTTACGACCCGAGGTCCTCCCTGAACCAGATTTCAACCAAACATGGGGGGAAGCCATGTCGGTTCTCAGAGATCATGAAAGATTTGGCCAATCTGCCCGAAGATGCGGCACAGCGCTTCAATTGCTCTCTGCCAAGATCCAGCAACCTGAGGCCCCTGGACCAGGGACACAAGCGGTGGAGACGAACACCAACAAACGGTCTTTACAAACTCTTGACCAAGTAACGGGGCTACAGATGGAAGAGGACTTTTCCTTCGGCGGTGGAGACGCGAATCAGTTGGGCTTGCAATATCTTGACTTTGATGTGAACAATCTGACCTGGCTTAATGATATGCAAGCAGCTTGGGAGCTTCTCAACCATGAAGGCTGAATGCGAAACTAATGTATCAAAAAGCTATTCATGATTCATATGAAGGAAGAATTGTTTGTCTAAAGTCTATATTTGTTCTTATATCTACAACCAGGCCTAACCTATTCGAAAGCCATCTTGTTCTTTACACGTCCTAAGCTGCTGATGCTGACCTCTACAACATCGCCATCGTTCAGATACTTGGGCTCCTTCATCCCCATAGCAACTCCCGAGGGAGTTCCGGTCAGAATAATGGTGCCGGCTTCCAGTGTGGTTCCCTGGCTCACGAAGCTGACAATGGCTTCAACTCCGAACAGAAGATCGCCAGTGCTGGTGTTTTGGCGCTCTTCGCCGTTAACGAATGTCTGTAGGTGGAGATCCGATGCGTTGCCGACAACTGCAGGAGAAACAATCATGGGGCTCAGAGGGGCGAACTTGTCGAAACCCTTGCTGAAACACCATTGAGGGACACCGCCAGCCTTCTTGGGGTCGCGCTGCCAGGCACGGGCGGAGACATCATTGGCGGCCAAGTAGCCAGCAATGTGGGAGAGGGCATCCTCCTTGCTGATGTTCTTGCCGGTCTTGCCAATGACAATGGCCTAAGTGACAGTGTTAGGTTGGGGGGGATTCTCAATTGTATTGAGACAATACTTACTAGCTCACCCTCATAATCAACAGTACCATCTTGGGCAACCTTAGGGATAGGGATGTCCTCAACGTGACCGGCAATGCTAGTGGAGGGTTTGATAAAAACAGAAGGGTAAGGGGGAGGAGTACGGCCGCCCTCCTTGACTGACAAAGCGTTAGTAAAAGTAAGGCAGATGGGGCTTCAACGTCTTCGGAAAATGGCTTACTGTGCTTGATATAGTTGAGACCGATACATCGGATGATAGGTACATCAGAGGGTTTCAGGATGTCACGGATGGCCTTGACGTGAACCTTCTCTCCCTTGACGAGTTCTGATGTAGGTGACTGTCCCTTGAACTCGGTAGCGTAGAGATTCTGGCTGGAGAGAAGCTCCTCGAGCTCAGTTTCAGATTTTACAAGAGGCTCGCCGAAGGTTTCATTGCCATTATCGTCAACGAAGCGAATAAGACGACTCCAAGTTTGTGAAGACATTGTGGTACAGAAGCGTATCGAGTGTTGGCGGCAGGGAAGACGAGTCTGGGGTAAGAAGTGGTACGATTGCCGGAAGCAGGATCTGAGAAACGTGGAAGCCATTTAATCTAATATCCCTCGGCTACAAAGACGCCGGAAGATGACGTTAGACTTAGTAGTTATGAGCATTGTGTTGTGGGTGGGTACCTCGGAACTGACTGTGAGTGGCTCATAAGGCTTCCGAGATCTCGGAGTTCTCCCCGGGGGACGTTCCGTTGTTACGTCGGATGCAACACACCTGGGAGTAACCCGATTCCAAATGAAGGGAGATGAACCGGGAGAGACCTGGGCGAAACCTGAATGTGTTATGTCATGTTGAGCGTGGGGATTTGTCTGGGGGCGTAGCTTGGGATTAATAGTTCTGCTGCCCACCTTCGACAAAACAGCAAGCGCTGTATTGCCATTGCGGAAATCAGTTCACATTTGAAGCAAACAACACAAGCAAATCATTATCTCGCCAATATGAGTCCATCTGCGATTGAAGTCGAGTCCGGCAAGGCCCCTAAAGCCATGGACACTTTCCTACAGGCCTTGCCTTCCAAGAACCTGGAGCCCTTGTGGTCCAAGATGAATGCCATGGTTCCCCCAACCCCCAACCCAACAGCCGAGCCAGCGCTATGGAAATACGAGGAGATGCTCCCTCATCTGCATTTAGCAGCCAAGCTCGTGCCAGAAGAAGATGCAGAGCGGAGAGTGCTGATGTTGGTAAACCCCAAGATGAGTACGTCACATTTCCCCGTTCATTCTAATGCCGGCCCCTCCCATCTCTCAACAAGCTAATTATTGGATTAGAGTCTCCCCATACCACTGATACCATCTATGGCGGTCTTCAGATCGTCAAGCCAGGGGAGACAGCACCCGCCCACCGCCATATCGCATATGCTTGCCGCTTCATCGTCGAAGGAGAGGGTTTCACTGCCGTGGAAGGCCAGAAAATGCCCCTCGTGCGGGGTGATGTTGTCGTCACACCTACGTGGCATTGGCATGATCACGGCAACGAAAGCGACGCTCCCGTAATCTGGTTGGACATGCTAAATCTACCTCTATTTACTTACACGCCCGTCCACTATGCCGAAGGATACGCTGAGAAGCGTTACCCTAGCACGTAAGTGACCGACCCCGATCACTCAACATTAATTTAGTTAGTGGCTAATTTGAAGAAATAGGCCCTCTGACCCTTGCGAGTGGCGACACCCTTGGGCACCTGTGCAAAAGACACTGGATGCAAGCACCGAACAACACGCGATCTATCATTACAAACAGAAGAATGGGGCTCCTCTTTCTACAACCTTAGGCCTTCAAGCGGAGCGTCTGGCTCCTGGAGCGTCCTCTAAAGAAACCTTGGATAGCTCTTCCTTCATATATCATTGCGTGGAGGGCAGGGGCTATACTACGATCGACTCCCCATCTAAAGAAAAGGTTACATTCGAGTGGGTTTCAAAGGATACGTTTGCGGTACCTGCTGGATCAAAAATTCAGCATTTCAATGAATCTCAGGAAGAGGTTGCATATCTGGTTGCGGTGAATGATGGCCCCTTCTTAGACCTTCTCGGCCTCCGACACCCTTAAACTTGAGTCAGCCAGTAGTCCTCAGGTCAGAATGAGGTTTATATTAGTTCTCTAGGACATTTGTTCGAAATGATTGACAGCAAACATGAGCGGTGAAGCCTGATGAAAACTCTCCCTTGCAATTTCGAACAATAGATTAGGCGTGAAAGCTGAACAGAAGTAAGATTGGAGAGGGGTATATTCTCTGTGTCTCCTTAATCTAATAAGCTGACGTATGCAGCTAGCAGAAGTCCCTTCTCGTTGATTATCTGCCCCAGACAAATTAGATTGCATTACTACGAAAACAAACGCAGAGATATACGCCCGCAAACGGATTCCATTTACCTATATTTAATCAAGAAAAGGTGATGTTTACATTAAATACAGGTACCGAACACTTTTGACAAAGGTTGAAGAAACTCGCATTGAGTATATTGAGGAAATACCAAGTCTATCTATCCACTCAAGCAACTAATCCTTGGGTAGCACTCAGTTGCCCAATACCACCTAACATGAGCCTATAGCACCCAAAAACTCACCAAGTTCTGCCAAGATATTGAGCAATTCCCGATGTATGACAAGCAATTATGACGCAAGGGGCTGGTTATCTGCAACATCTGATTGGTCTCGCAATAGATGCATGAGCTTGATACCCCTCCTGCCAGAGTGTCTTGGCCGGGGTGACATGAAGTACTTAAAGAGAACGACAACCGCCATAAATCGCATGACCCCTCTTTGTAAGCGAATATGCGAGTCTTGTGATCAATCTCATCAAGATGAGTATTCTCTCCGTGTTCTACGCGCATTGGCAGGCTCTCGCTGTTGTTTCGTTTGGTTTATACATCATCCAAACCTGCATAGTATATCTCAGGTTGCGAAAAGTGAAAGGTCCATGGCTCACGGGAATATCAGGCTGGCCGCACAGCCTAGCAATACTGAGTGAAAGATGCCATGAATGGTATGAAGAAGCGAATCAAGAATATGGTTAGTGAGGGTGCCCCATACCCTTCAAAATTTATCCACGCTCATGAGCTAGTACACTCATTCTGCTCTGTATCAGGTCCAATTGTACGAGTCGCACCGAACTTACTCGTCACTTCGTCCCCCAAAGTCTGGACTCACATCAATACCCATCCCGGGTATCGACGGTCTCCTTGGTTCTACCAAGCTTGCAGAATCGGGTACCGGCAGGACAATATATTCGCTTGCACAGACGAAGAAATTCACAGCAGAAAGAGGAAACAAATGGTAGCTGGGGTACGCTTCGTTAACTTTAATAATAACATTGTAATATGTGTAGCTAACATCAGTTGGCCCGCAGTATTCTGGCCGAGAGAACTTGGAGATGGAGATCTCAATCGACGAACAGGTTCGGGAGCTTGTAGATCTTCTTCGGTCCAAGTACCTCTCCACTCAAGAGGCCATTGTGCCTGTAGACTTGGCTCAGAAGGTTCATTACTTTACCCTTGACGTTATTAGCAGTATCGGTCATGGCAAAACGTTGGGACTACTTAGGACCGACTTTGACGTCGACGATTACCTCAAGTCGAGCCATGAGGGCTTGAAGATGTTCAACGCTTCTCTTGCCCTTGGCTTCAGTTGGCTTGCCCATGCGCCCGTAATAGGCACATTCATCTCCCCAAGACGGACAGACAAACGTGGTATTGGTAGAATAATGGACATGTGCTTCAGTCAGGTTGATGAACGACTAGCCGAACCGAATGACAAGAAATCCGACATGTTGGCATCCTTCATACGACATGGCCTAAAGGGCCAGGAGCTTCGGACAGAGTCTGTTGAACAGTTCATTGCTGGCTCTGACACCACTTCAGCAGGCCTGCGCAGTGCCCTTCTTCACATCATAACAAACCCACGAGTCTACAAAAAACTCCAAAAGGAAGCCAATGAGGCAGTACGTGGCGGCACCGTACCCAAGGCTAGCGAGGGCATCATCACCTCCAACCAAGCCAAACGACTTCCGTATTTGCAGGCCGTTGTCCGCGAAACCCTGAGAGTCTGGCCTCCAGTGGCAGTTCTTTTCTCCCGTGATGTTCCTCGAGGAGGAGACACGGTTGAGGTCGAGAGCGGCGAGAGCGTATATCTTCCTGGGGGTGTCAGCATTGGCTACTCAGCCCATGGAATGCACCATAATGAAGAGATTTATGGCACTGATGCAAAGTCTTTTCGGCCAGAGCGTTGGTTTGAAAGTGATACAGCTAAAATAACCGTCATGCTCCGCACGAATGATTTGATTTTTGGGCATGGCAGGTTTCAGTGTCTAGGAAAGGTCGTCGCGCAGATGGAACTGGGAAAGCTTTTGTTTGAGGTACGTGGACACTCCGCTCGTCGCAATCTGAAATCAAGTTAATGGATGATGCAATCCGATATAGGTTGTCCGCAACTTCGACATTGCTCTCATTGATCCGACAAAGCCGTGGAAAGCGAGGAACTACATGGGACTATTCGTCATTTCGGACATGTGGGTGCAGGTAATGGAGCGTGATGAACAAGCCGAGGGTTAAAGTGTCTCTTGTTTCTCAATGATTACATACATTAGTTTATTCCCCTGTTGCAAATGGTGTTGGGAGGAAAGTTGCAATGCCCGTTGGACAGGCCAATGGCAGGGGTTGGTGACATGTATGTTGTTATGCATAACAAACCTCGTGTCTGCACAAAAGAAGAGCAGGGTCAGATCCTCGCCACTCCTGGACAGCTGTAAATAATATGCACGCCTTTACTGAAATTACCCCGCGACGCGTCTGGAACACGTTACGCTTGCCAACCTCACCTCCCACATATCCCAATAGCACCAGAATAACGACAGCAAACATGGATCAAATGCCCCCTCCCTCATCTCAAATGCCGCCGCCGTCATCCCAATCTCACTTTGAGAAATTCGACAACTTCGTTCCCGATAGCAGCGCGTCTTTCGAGGACGAATTTGCCCGCCTTGCATCTTCCCAAGATTGGGCCGACGGGACCTCCGAGTTTCAGAAGCAACGCACGATTGCCCTACGATCCGAATTGAAGCTACATTACTTCTCCGCGTCGCAAATCATTGAAGAAGGACAGGAAGATCTTGAAGATGTCCCCCTCACCGAAGAGGCGAAGCTGGCTGGCTATCAAGCCTTGTGTGAAGAAGTGGGCATCCCCCCACACGACACGATCGAAGAATGCCAAAAACACCTCAAGAGAACGCTCGTAAATATCGTCGACTTAATCGATACTCGAAGAACAGGCAAGAGCGTGAAGGTCTGGACCGATTTCGACGCTTTTCGAAGATACACACTCAAACGATCGATTAATACGGAAGAGGCGAAGAAAGATGGCGGCATTTTGGCTTCTTTGCTACAACGTTTGAGATTTCCAAGAAGAGAGCATCGCAGACCTCGTCCAACCAGAGGAAATTCTTCCAGAGTAACTTCAGGGAGGGTGATGAAAAAGGATACACATTTCCAAGACAGAAACAGTCAAAGACGGAAGGGAAAGGTCTGTGATATGGAATAATCAAGATGGAAGCTTCTATTGGTGGGCACGGCGGAGTTTGGGTGAATTTCAACGGTATTTACAAAGGATGGGCAATTAGGGCGCAAAGATGTTTAAACGTTGACCATGTTGTATTATTATTATTGGGTTTGTGAGATGTCATATAATGTTTATCAAGCTTATAAGAAATCCGAGGTTTCCCAAACTAACGATCGCTTGTCACTAATTAGGTGCCTTGAACTACCGCCAATAAGTGGCATAAGACGAGTTACCTTGGATAGTGTCAATGAAGCTTTGAGCAATAATCTCGGCTATGGCAAGCATCTGTTAGATTTATGAATCTACTGTTCAGGATTTTCTTGACTTACAGGTACGTTCTGACGGATGGAGCTCATCAAACCACATGAAGTTTGATTTAGGCTCTGAAGCCCTAGTGCAGCTGGCAACATCGGAAGACTGGCAGAACTGGTAGACCCCATCAACGTTGGCTTGAGGCCCGAAAAATTTCTCGGGGTTCGCATAAATATCCCTGAACAGTCGGTTTGTATCGAAAATTGCCAATGTAGCCCCAGGCCAGCGGTTCTTAAGTTTCAGATGAAACGGGCCTCCGATGCTAAAGAGGTCGTTTGCGCTTGAGGTGGACTGAAAGATTCGCTGTTCATAGAGTGTGCTATTAATATCGGGCTTTGTTGGAAATAGCGTGCTGAACTCCAGGCCTCCTTTGCCGACAGACTTGTATAGAGGCGTAATCTCTAGCGGTATGACATTCATGACAACGAAAGACCGTCCACCCGAGGCATACAGTTTGTCGAGAATGTCCCAAACACAGTCGACGAATCCCCGTACTGTTGATCCAGGAGCCTGTGAGTCTGAAAGATAGCCTGATATTCCAAGATCGTTGGCCCCAATCATGATTGCGTAGACAGTATTGTCGGCCTTTCTGTTGGGATAGAGGGTATCGAATCCAAGATCTGCCTCGAATGCTGGGACCTCCTGTTCTAATATTGTAGGAAAGGCAATTCCAAGTCCAGGTACGTATCTCTCAACGATGTCTTTGGAACATGTAGCCCCAGAGAATGCATAGTTGTTGTAGTTGGCTCCCGTAGCATTCGCAACAAAACGACCCCATGTTGCGCCACCAGTAGCCGCCTCTTGGGCTATCGGGACAATAGTGCCTGGGGGAGGGAATTTCATATGCTGTTGAAAATAGGCTATGCGGCCGTCATCTGTTATACTGTCTCCAAAAGTGACAAGGTTCTTCATCGTTGCCAGTCTACCACAGCTTCTGGCAGTAGCTGCTGCAGCGAAAGCGACACAGATTACCCAAAACATGGTGCAAAGATCTGAGATCAGCAAGCGAAAGTGAATGGACTTGATGTATTGTGGTAGGAAAACTTCTTTGAATCAACAACAAGTTTGAGATAATCGGATACTTATACATGGCATTGCGGTTGTAGTTATGGGGACCGGGGGGTTTTGCTGGTGCCTGGATATCCGAACTCCAGGATCCGAGATCTCCAATTTCATCTCAGGCAAATTAACCCACAGGCAGCAGCAGCAGCACCCAAATGCAGATTCCAAATGGGTTATCGTAGTCTTATGTATTGAAAGTACAGGCATCACTCAGCAAGAGGCTTTCGAACCAGCGCTGTATCTCTCTCTTAGAGGTGGCCGAAACTCCGCATATCAATTTAGTGCTTCATACTAAAAGTCTTTTATGGAAACTGCGGTCCGAGTGGCCTTAATGCATTGTGCCATTGTATACTACACAGCAAAGGCCTGGCTACGTCCCAGTGTGCTAGCCTAAAATTTTGGGAAGGCATGCTTGAAAACGTTGTTAGGATCGAACTTCGCCTTCAGCTCCTTGGCTCGAGGCCATTTATCCCCAAATAGCTGCTCAGCAGTCCTGTCCTCTGGCCTCGTCAGGGCAGGATAGGACCCCTCCATGACAGCGGGATCCCCGGAAGAGCGAATCTTTTCATACAACCAGTCGTTCCACTTCCTTGCCTCGGCAAGAAGTTTCTCCTCGGGTACCATATCCGTGAACGAGAGCAGGACGTGGGAGCCTGCGCCAAAGCAATTTGGCACTATTGCTTCATGGTCGATGACAGTCTTCATCGACCAGCCAATGTTGGCAAATTCAGGCTTGTTCTTGAGAGCCTCCATAAGGATGTCGAAGATACCGGGAGAGACCTCCTTGATGTATATCGATCTTTGGCCGCCATATGGCAGGCATGGTATTTGCAAGCTCTCATAGTGCCCCAGGAGAGACTTCTGCTGGACAGTATTCATCTTGGCCGGTGGCAAGGCTGCCGTGAATGTCTCCAGATACTTTTTGCCTTCCTCGACATCTGAACCACCCCAGCTAAAGATGATAGAAAACGCTCGCTGGTGCGGCATTTGGATAATGAAGTGGTGGATGTTTAGATCCTTGGGGAGAGTGAGCTTCTCCTCCGCAGAAATAATGGCCTTGATTGATTCTGGGCTGTCATCAAACATTAACATTCCAATGAGGACCTACGCATGATTAGTATAGAAATAGCAACGAAAATGACAAAGGCATAGTTGCTTACCTCTCTTTTTGGGTAGACTTTAATTGTCAACGATGTGACAATGCCGAGATTGCCACCCATGCCTCGCAAACCTTCTAGCATTTCATCGGTGGCTTTAACAATCTCTCCCTCGTGATTGACAATCTCCGCTCCGACAATTCCTTCAAAGCCCATCCCCAAGGCTCCAGTGAATGGTCCATAGCCGCCAATCGTTGACCACCCCACGTAGCCAATTTCTAGGGAATTCCCAAGGGGAGCGGTGAGATTGTGCTCATCAAACTTGAGCAGCATGTCCTTTGCAAGGACGCCGCCGCCGATCGTGGCGGTTGTTTTATCACCTGCCACGTTGATGAATTTGATATCTCGCATGTCAATGATTAGGGCACCATCTGCTGCGTTTCTGCCATAGAAATCATTACCGCCAGTGCGAACGGTGAAATCGACTTCATTCTTGACCGCCCAACGGACAATACCAGCCACTTGCTGGGCATTAGTAGGTATCGCGATACCCAAAGGCTTTTTCTCTTGCCCAGCGTGCCCTCTAGTAGCCCGACGATCCTTCCATTCAGGCGAAGTGGGAGTGAGGAGCGTTACCTCGGGATTCGCTTTTTGGAAACTGTCTATTTGGGCTTCGGAAGTCATGATGAAATAAGAGTGCTTGGCGTGATGCGGTTTGCATTGTCACACCGAGATGCTGGAATCGGACACATTTTTATCTAAGCTCGGGCACTTTTTCGTGATGGAAACTCAAAATGTCTCCGAGAGAGCGACAGTGCTCACCGCGTAGAAGTCAACCCAAAATCTGACAGGTAAGCAGATGCCCTTATTCTCACCAATGAACGTGATGAATTTGTAGACTGGAAAGGAAGTCAAGTGCGATCCTTGCAACGATGTTTCAAAAGGGCTACGATGACATTCGAAGTAGAAGTATGAACTCATTGGCTGTTATTAGAGAGGGTATACGTCGAATAACAAGATCCTCGCACATCTCAAAACTTATTAACTATACGGGAGTGTTCGAGTGTAAAGTTTGAAAAGAAAAAAAAAGCAAGAGAAGATGAAAAACATGCCATCTCAACACAATGAATACGAAAGGTTGGGGAAAAGCTTTGCTAGCCCAAGGCTGAAACTTTTCAAGTGTAGCATTCCAATGCGATATTAAAGTGGATGGAATTAATCCCGGCCCTGTAATAGCAACTAGGACTTTCTATCTCATTCATATTCTAATCTATTGATACTTGGGTGAATCGGTTTGAAAACACCCGAATTTAATTAATCAATTCTCTCCAGAACTATAAAGGTCATTCATTGGCCGAGAGAACATTTCCCCCCTCCCCTCTCATGCCGACTCCTTCGCTTCTTTGACTTCTTGACCTTCTTTGACCTCCTTGGCGTTGTTCTCGTCCTTGGTGGCATTCTGCTCCTTGGCGGCCTCGACGTCTTTGGTTTCCTGGGCCTTCGGCTTGGCCACGTTCTTCCATTCC